TATTTTTTTAGTCATCGTATTATTAACATAAAATATTAACCAACTTGTCAAGGACTACTGTCTATTACTAAATTTGATTAATTATATTTAGCAATTTCCTAACTATGTATTTTCATAAGAATAAGATTTCAATTTATACACTATTTAAAATATTTGAATTCAGTTTTACTTAACAACATGTTGGTCATTAATTACACTCTTTATATAGTATGACATTTTTATATTATTGTTATTTTTTATTTTAATTATAAGTAACAGATTTTTTTTTAATATAAGTAAAATCATTTACTTAATATTAAATATCTTTTATACTTTTCATTTATTATTAATTTTATTTTCTATTCATCCATTAATAACTAACATTAAATATAATAACCACTTAAAATGAGAGATATATTTAGAATAAATTATGAGTTTATTGTAGAATTAATTATAAATAATCATATTAATTATTTTTTTAATCTTAATGATACATACAATATTAAAATAATTAGGACTGAAATTAGTATTTACTAATACAAGAGAAACTAAATTTAATGAAAGAAAAGGATTTAGTTTTCTTCATTTTAGTTGTGTAAATTAATTAATTAAGTCCTTAATTAAATTTCCGTCCTTTACAGTCAAGTTCTTCCTCAACCCTCGACCTTTACTTCAACACCAACACAACTAAATAAGAACCATTAGACCAATTTGCTTAGAATAAAATTATATTATTTAACTCAAACGTGTGAGATAAAAAATAAAAATTATATATATATATATATATATATATTATATATATACTGCAACTAAATAAACAATACAATGTTGCAAAATTAAACAAATAATAACTTATTTTTTTAGTACTGTATGTTTTAGTTAAAAAATGATGTTTTCTTTTTATAAAATTGTGTTCTTTTAACATTTTTTTAAAAAAATTATTTACATATTTCAGTTAATAAATTAGATATCAATAAAAAAAATTTCACTAAAAATATTTATATTTATAATATATTTTCAATTAACCGTTTTCTAATATATTTACATCATATCTAATATGTTTGTATTTCTATTGTTTTATATAAATATATACTAATTTATATTTATGTAGAAATATATATTAATTTAATTTAATTAATGTATTAATATATACTAATTTAATAAAAAAAATAAAAATTTTAAAATAAAAAATCATTTAAAACAAAGTAGTTAGGTTACAAATGGTTGTCTAATGTGAAAATAATTAAATTTTGTTTGGCAGTTATATTTTATTTAATTTTGAGTGCGTGAGGGTGGGGAATGGGGAGGGAGTTGAAAGTAAGATTTTAGGACCACAAAGACAATGGTAGTGAGTAGTGACCCTTCCAGCCTTCCTGGACTGGGTAAGATGGAAAATTCAGAAATAAACTAAATTCCTGGACCAAAGACAGAAATAGCTGAACTAACATAGTTCATGATATATACACCTTCCTTTTTCTATAAGTATACCTCCTTTTAAAAAAAATAATTAAAATTTTAAAATATTTTTAATTTTTAATTTTTTAATTTTACATCTATAATATTTAATTTAGTACCCTTTTTCACACATCTTCCTTTTTTTTTCTTCAATTTTTACATGCACCCTCTTACCTTTCCTTCACCCCACTTATTTTCGTAGTATGCATGTAAAAACTAAAAGAGAAAAAAAAAAGTGTGTGAAAAAGAAGAAGAAAGTAATAAATTGAAAATTGAAGGTGTAAAATTAGAAAATAAAAAAAATCTACAATATTTTATAATTCAAAAAAAAAAATAAAGGAGGTGTACTTAAAAAATAAAGGAGGTGTATATATTATGAGCCATAAGTGCACCTCCTTTATTTTTTTAAAAATGATAAAATATTGTCATTTTTATTTTATTTTTTTAATTTTACTCCTTCAACTTTTAATTTGCTACTTTCTTTTTTTTTCACACACTTTTTTTTCTCTTTCAATTTTCACATGCTATTAAAATAGGTGAGGTGAAAGAAAGGTAAGAGAGTACATGTAAACATTAAAAAAAAAAGGAAAGATGTGTAAAAGAAAGCACTAAATAAAATGTTGTGAGTGTAAAATTAAAAAATTAATATTTTTTTAAAAAGGAGGTGTACTTATAGAAAAAAGAGGTGTATATATATGAACCAACTAACATATTAGTTAAGCCCAAATTTTTGTATACTCCCTTTCTCATGGCCCTCATTCTGGCCCAGTTACATTTTCAAAGTAACATGGCCCTGCCCCCTGCTAAAGGCTTCCACTCGTGGTCCATAAACCAGCCAACTTACGAATGCATGTGGAAGTTTATCTCAGAAAGCTACAATAGTTTTTTGGAAGAAAAAAAAAACTAGTAATAAAGAAAAATAAAACATCACCTAGTTTAGCTTTGTTTTAACTATTTAATTAACATCATGAATGAGGCATAGTCACAGGTTTTAGGAAGGATATGTTAACTACTGATCTAGTATGCATTAATGGTTGATAATTGATATGGTCTAGAGTTGAATCAAGTGTGTTAAGATGTCCCGCATTGCTTTAGAATATATATTGGAATACTCTTTATGAGATTGCTTCAAATCATATTATATATTACTTTCGTTATCATACATAAGATTTAAATATTTAATTCATCATAATTAAAAAAAGTAGTTAATGATAAATAATAAATTTATCTTATATATATATATATATAATTACTCTTATGCTATGTTTCTCTCTTAATTTATACTTATATTTTTTTAATCAATTAAAATATGTATCAGATAATATTCAATCTCTCATAAGTAATAATAATTAAAGATATTTTAATATAAAAACAATTAATACAGAAAAATATGAGCTGAGTTCTATATAATGGAACAAATTAACAATAATTTTAAGTTAGATGTTATGAATATATATGGAGATAGTATCAATTCTACAATTTTCAATCCATTTATAAAGTGAAGGACAAAAGATTACTTTAATGTTATTTTCACTATTCGTGAATTTGAAGAGAAAATGGATGTGTAAAGCCGTTGATTGGGCTATTTTTTTTTAGATTACAAGTTTGTTTTATTGAAATCAATTGTTCAAGCGAGATAAAGTTGTTATAGAAGACTGCAAAACTCTTTTTCTAAGTATTTAATGTGATACAAATGAAATCATTAACCAATAATTAAGCACAGCACAATTCTGTGGCAAGAACAATCTATCTGAATAACTAACAGCAGTGCCAAGAACTGCTAAGAAAGATGTATCGTCTATCAATGTTTCTTCTGATTTTAGCTTGTCACGTTGCTTTGATGCCAATCGGCAGCAACACTGCTTTGATTTCTTACCTTGTTTGATCATTTAAAATACTTTAATCCATTGGAGTATTAGATGATAAGGAAAAGGGAATCATTTAATTTTATTGCTCAACAAATGATTAAAAGAGGCATGTGATAATAGCATAATTGAGTAAGAATAATTAGCAAAAAAATAAAAGGAAAAGAAAAGGAGAGTAGTTGAGGTGGGGTTGTATAAAAAGACGAATTGTGGTGATAAGCTTGAATGGTCAAGTGGATGCGTCCACAACAGCACGAAAACGACACCGGAATTAAAATTTCAGTTATGCCCTGCCAAGTGCCAAGGGGTAAATTGTAAAGCCCGGCCCAGCCCGGCCCATCTACCCACTAAAATTGTCCAATTTGAGACAAACCAATCCACCTACGTAATTTAACTCTCTAAAACTTAACCGACAAAGACTACTTACCTGCGTAACCTTTGTCTCCATATTTCTGTTTTTTTGGAAATTGCAGACACAGCCATATACAAATGTGTCTGAACCGAACCGTGTTAGGCTTCAATTTTCATACTCACCTCAGAAAGTGAGATCAAATATAAACAAAACATCCATATGCTTTTGTGTATATTTTTGAGATACGTTTTTTATTTCAATCTTTAAATATTTTCATTTTATGCATATCCCCATCTTCATAGGCTGACCAACTTTTTTGTAACCTTTCTATGCACCAGAAATTTATAGTAAAAGGAGCATACAAAAGTCCCTTCAACGTGTTGTGGTAAATTTCATATTGATGGTGCATTTACCCAAATATTAAGCAAACACTACAAACTAATGCACGGAATACATCTTTTCAATTTTGTTAGCTGCCTAAAAGATAAAGACCAAAAGAAAAGTCCAAAGAAAATGCCCAGTCAAGGAAAGAATGAGAGAACAGAGATAGTTTAGCCTCCGAGTAATATTACAGACAATTGTTTATATTACTATTATTATTATTTATGTGAAATGTCAATTTTTTAATCATCAGATTTACTTTTAAATTATTATATTTGTGGGATGCACTTACCATTTCAAGAATGACTATACACATATATTCCCATTTTCATGTAATTCACTTCTGCCTCACGCATCTTTTATTTCTATTTACCTTTTTTATTCACCATATATATATATTTATAAAATTCTCTCTTTCTTTTATTTTCCTCTCTATCCCCCTCCTCACATCCTATTTTAGAGTGGGCCTTTAACATTCTTTCTCTATATTCGTACCCAAAAGAAGTAGAAAGTATCAGAAAAGCATAAAAATACTTTTGACTTGGTAAAGAAAGATCCTGCGATTGGTAATTTATTTTAATGTCATCTCAGATCCCAGAAAATTATCATTGTTTCTGATTTTCTATTTCTGGTTTTGTACAAATCCATGAGCGAAGCATTGTGGGCGGTGCCTTGGTTATGGCATTGAACTAAACAGCTAGCCCAGCCCAAGTTAGCAAAACTACAATGGTTAAGTAATTAGTACTTAAGCATTAAGAATGTAGAATGCAAAAGCATATGGTAACGCATCAACTTTCCGTGTGAAAAGTTGAGCCAATCCATTCTTTTCTACAATTTTCATCATTAAAGAGATTACAACCAAAGTTTGTTGCCCTTAACTTATCATACACCCGACAGTCATATATTACATATAACTTATTATTATGACTAAATATTGAAGATTAGATGCCCCACTTACATCACAATAGTGCCGAAACCAACATAATTAAACTAGCATATAAGAATAAGAAGAGCACATGTCATACAGTCATTGGATTGGATTATAGTAACTTATTATATTATATATAGCAAATAAGAGAGAGTAAGATTGACGGATTAATTGATTGATTAGCTAAGCGCATAAATAAGGAGTTTGATAATTAATGATTCCCACTTCATTAAAAAGGCATCTATTTGGCTCTTTCTTGAATTACATCAAATCCCATTTCAGTTGGATCGGTGGCCTGAACTTCATAGCTGATTCCATCCAAGGCTCTTCTCAGCCCATCCTTTGATGTTGCGTAGAGCATCTTTGCTCTTATCCTTGATGCTGTTGGAGACCTGAAAATTTTCGTAAAAAACAAAAAAAAAAAAAAAAAACCTTGGAATCAATCATCGTATATTAAATTCACACAATAATTGCAATTAAATTACCCTATTGGGGTCCTACAACTAGAAGGGCATCATCGTGAGAGTGAAACGTGGGGGAGTGTAAGCACGGTAGAAGGATGCGATATGGATAAATTGATGAGATGTGAGTACCATGCAATGAAGAAGATCTTGCTCTTGTGGCAATTATCAACGGTGACAAAATCAAAGTCGAAGACGGCATATCTACAATCATCCTTGGGCAAGGAGGCAGCGAGATTATCATAGCTCTCACCGGGACCACCCACCTTATCAACGGTGACAAGCCTGGACCTTTCATCGATCTTGAACACTATGTATCTGTGCACCTTCTTCCACTTCATTTCCATGAAAGAGTTCTTGCACTCATCCGTCACCCACATCCCAGTAGTCGCCTGTTAAATGTTAATTCCCAACCAATTCATCACTATAGATACTATATAATTAACATCATACACAACAAACCCTTATATATTCACCACTTATGTATATTACACCTAAACAAACATACATATATAGATTTATATATTAAAAAAGGTTGCAGATGCATGCTGTGCAGCAGTACCATTTTGAAAGCCATCGCCATTGTTATCAGCTGAGAAGGAGAACAAAGCAGGCCTTATCACTTTTTCCTTTTGCTATTAAGTATCAAGTGTGGAAGGTTGACAAGAATTTGAAGGAAGAGTACTGAGACTTGGTCAATATATAAGCACCCTCTTCATCAGATTGCCACTGCTATTTCCTCATATTTACAAATTTGTCCTATCATCAAATTCATTAGGATTAAATATTAGACCATAATCCTTATCGCACTTATATTTAATCTCTCTCTCCACGGAGATTAAAGTCCTAGATAGATATGAATTTAGATTTGTTAGTTGATACCGATTCAATAAAATTGTTGATTTGAAATAAACCATGGTTTGATTTTATTATTTTATGGGATTAAATTCAATCTAAATCAATTAAATTTAATTTTAATTAGTTAAAATTACAGATTTATATTTTACAAATTTTATAATTTAATAACTAAATCAATTAAAATTATTATAATTTTTTAAATATTATTTTATAATATTATGATTTTATTAATTACACATAAAAATAACACTAATTGTTCTTTTATGATATTTTTATTTATAATATTATTATTATTTTATTAGTTATCCAATGCTCACTTACCAATTACCTTACACTTCATACTTCAACACATACCACACTCGCCTAACCATTTGACTTCACCACTTTCTAAGTAATTTTGAAGCTATTGTTTACTTTTTCTTAGTTCCACACCATCAGATTAAATATTAAAAAAAATTTAACATTTGTTTTCTCTTAATAATATATTATTTGCATGTTGATATTCAAATTGAGAAAAAAATATAAAAAGACTACTTGAATATTAATTATAACTTCTACAATTTAGTTATATATTACAGACTTTTATTTTTAAATATTAAATACTTTAATTTTATTTTGAATATATTTTTATTTAAATTTTGAGATAATATAATGTGTATATATATATATATATATATATTTATATTCTATACAAATAAATATCTTTTATTTTTTTTAAGAAAATTGATTAAATCGAACCAAATCAACCTACTGTTAATTGGTTTGGTTTGGTTCAGATCACAATTTTTTTTTTATAAATCTGATCCAAACTAAATTAATAAAAATTGATTGGTTTAAATTTTAATTTACTTCAAATTTAAACCAAATCGGTTCATGAACACTAAATTGTCACCAAGTTATTTTAGATGAGATTTTTTTCTACCAAAACAAATGTTTTTGGCATGATAAATTTATTTTTAGTCTTTTAAATTTAAAACTAATTTTTTAACTTATGTAATTTAAAAAAAAAATATTTTAGTTCACCACTATCATCAATAATATTTTTAATGAGGACATATTGAGCCATTTGTAAAATATAAGTGGGACTTAATGTGATGTTTTTTTTTTTTTTAAATTAGTATGTAAGTTTTGTGTGATAGATTTGGTAATAGACAACTTTTTTATAAATTCATTAATGACATTTGAACAAAGACATTGAAATAATTAAATTATAGAATTAAAAAATTAATTTTAAATTTAAGGAAAAATAAATTAATTTACATCAAATTTAAGTTTTAATTTCATTAATGTTCGTGATTTTTAAACTAATTTAATGTATTATTAATTGTATACTAATTAAAAACCTTTTTTTTTTGCCATAACCCTCCATTTTTTAATGCTTCACGTGATAAAAAATCTTGAATTAAAGTGTGAATTGCAGAAACTTCGTAAGTACTGTACGATGACATGGAATGAGAAATCATTTTCACCTCACTTGGAATTCAATGTGAAATGGGTGCCAGATCAATTTTCAAAATTAATAATTGTACAAAAGTCGAATGCTCACCACCACAAAATGAAATCCTTTATTTAATTGCAGTTAATGTTTATTGTATATGTGCAATGAATTTTATAATTTAACATATTTATTGATTAACACAAATTAATTGTACACTTTTAACAACGAGAAAACATAAAATAAATAGCATACTAAATTCCAATTATATCAGGGACCCACATTTATTATTGGTGTAATTTTTTTTTAATTTTATAGCAAGTATTTTCTATGAAAAATAATCTTTATTTTTTATTAATAAAAATTACAAAAATAATAATAAATCTATGATCCGATAAATATTTCTGCAACTTTTTTTTTTTTATTAAGTGGATCTTAATAATTTTTTTATTGAGTGAAAATTAATACAGGTAACAAAATTTTCTAATATGTTTAACACAATATTACTAACATGCATTTATCTTGATTTTCAATTTACCCAACGTGAATTTTAACAAAAAAAAATCAAGTTACTATATTTATTATTATTTTTACTAATTAAGAATCTGGTAATTAGCTAAATGTATATCTTCAACCCACTACTAATATTGGGGTAACTTAGTGGTTTTTTTTTTGGTTGAACTTAAATAACACTTATTATAGTTGATAAAATTTTCCAATATATTTAACATAGCATTACTAACATGCTCTTATCTTGATTTTTAATTTACCCAACACCAATCTTGACGACGACGACAAAAAAAAATGTTTCTGTGTATTTATTAATTTCTTAACGTATCATTATTAAAAATTTAGTTATTAGCAAAATTTTACATTCTAAACACATTAAAATGAAAAGATATTTCAGAGATTATATAGTGTGATAATGTACAATTGAGAATAATTATAAAGAATTAGTTATAATATTCTACCAATAAGATAAAATGATAGATAAATTTTTTAATAGTTCATCACTTATAAACTCTATAATTAAATGTGTATAAATTAGAGAAATTTAGACAATGAATGACCTTTTAAAAAATTTCTCATAAAAGTGTGTAAGTGAAAATAAAATATAAAAAAAAGTTTTCTATTGATTTTTGGGGTAATTGTTAATCCTAAAAGTAATTAGCATATAAAAAAAACTACCCACAAAACTTTTGAATGGTGAAATGTTCGAATAAATGAAGAGTTAAAGTGAAGTATCATCAAGTGAAAAGTTTTATATGATATTACACAAAATATTTAAAATTTTAATAATTAAAAAGGAAAATATATTCTTAAAAATTCTCTTTAAATTAATGAGAAAGTAATTAAATATTATGTTTTTAATTCATTAAAATAAATGTAACTTTCTTTGGTTCATGAATTATTAAAAAAAAGCCTCTTTTTGTACTTCTTCTAATTATATGGACAACCCATTAATAAGCGAGGTAAAAAGAAAATTTTGGGAGGAAATATTTTTAAATAAGAAATGTAAATGTTAGGTGATTTTTTTAAAAATCAAAATATGATACCTTTTCATTTACATATATATACGATTTTTTTATACTTTATATTAATTAAGAATATATATATATATATATATATATATATTTATATATATATG